TCTTTCCATAAACTAGGACTATTCATAAATTTATAATAAAAACTACCGTTCAATCCTAAACCAGTACAGTCAAATTAAAAAATGTTTATGACACCCACATAGATGTAAATTTTTTAAAATTCGTTTCAATTGTTTCGGAACCTTTTCAATAGAAACAAATAAACAATCAAGTCATTCCTCTTTGTAATATTACTATAGAATACTAAATAAAATCAACCGGTCCAGTTACTCGAGATGGGATTCGAAACGTTCACATTCAGCTAACCGGGTGACTACTCTACCAATTAAGCTACCTGAGACCTTACCGATTATCTAATCAATCTAATCGATGTAGCCAATATTAAACAAATATTAGTCAACATCACATACATTGCTCAACGTTGGTTGCTACTTAATATTTTTGGCTGACGATCCAAAACAAAAATATATGTTCGCGACCCTGGCGTAATTCTCTACCGATCAGTGTTAATAAAATAAAGCGATTCACTGAAATCCGTGCTTTGCTCATAGCGTCTATTAATTATTCTCTCGACCTTAATTTAGATCACGATCCGAGATTAAAAAACGCTGGATCTGGTGCCCTCCATCTAGAACCCGGATTCCTTACCCCCATGCGACGGTACTCCACAGCGGGTATTATCACGTAGGACTATCACGCTTTGAGCTTCCCCTGCGGGGGCAGGTTTACTTAATTTAGGTTGGAGGCGTAAGATGCATTTACCCTGACCTTAAAAAAAATGTTAGAAACGCTGCATAAAAGTAATAATTGATAGGTTTGTTTCTGTCAGTAATTAAAAAAACTTGTTCAGAAAAGATAGTTTTTTATCTTATCAACACATAAGGACATAAACATAGTTTAAAAGTTAAGAGTACGTACTTTAACTATACGTCTTAGAGCCAATACATCTATCGAAATTATTTTTTTATTTTTAACCTATTACAATAATAACACAAATAATATGATATAAAAAAATTACCGAATCTCCTAATTCCGAGCAATAAATCAAAGTTCATTCATATCAATCATGTAATAAAAAATCTTATAAACACATATTTAAAAACAAGAATCCACCACATCGGTTTTTCCAAAAGCTGTCTACCAAGTATTAATAAGATCAGTCATTCGTTGGACTGTCGGTTAACAATTTTGGTATCAGGTACATTGCCTGTGCGTGAGGTTGGATTTGCGCTGGTTCTTTGTATGTGTACATACAAAAAACCTAATCAACCTCATATATACCGTAGAGTTTTCTTAGAAAAGCACATTTTTTGCTCCCTAACTAGTTTTAAGCACTTACTCACAGCGAACATCACGTTATTACAATATGACAAAATCCCGCAACTAATTTCGTAGATACTCTTACATAATATATCGAACTAATAAGGATCTAAATCTGTTGCAGTAATTTAATAGGTTTATGTGTTGTTGATTGTAGTCGACACCACGTAAGGTAACAAACCTATTCAATTCTCCACTTCTGACGTCCTGTTGTGTTTAGTTCAAAGCAATATCTTGCCAACACTATTGGTAGATACCTACCGACTACCAAAATTGAAGAAAACCGATAGATACAACAGTTATGTCGATATTGTGTCTAGATTTTAAGATTATATAGGTCGAAATAGTGAAGCTATCTCTGTCAGCAAGGAGAATTCTAGAGAGCCAAATTCTTCTTGTCTATCAAAAAGCCACTGCTTGGGCTTGGCTATATACCTCTCTCGACTCAAAATGTCACACTTTGTTCATAAAGACTTAAATATTGGAACAGTAGTAATGACTAATGACCAGGAGAACGAGGAACAAAATTTTGCCATTAAACAATTTTCGGTATGTTTACCATTAAACAATCATCAAACTCCAAATCTAGATTGTATATGCAGTTTGATGATTTAAACAAGCAAATCTCGAGCAAATTCGTATTTTATAATAACAACAACATTGAAAATTCTGTTCTCTGTTGTTATAAATGTTGAAATATTTACTATTATAATAAGGATTTCAAATTTTTTATGTAGGTATTATCTATTTTGTTATGCTTCCTTTTGGATTTTATCCCCGGCGTTATCACAATTATCCAACATCCCAATATTCTTAACTCTCTCCAGTCGAGAGATAGTCCATGAATTTGGATAGTGAGAGTAATCTTTTTTGAACAATTTATTTAGCTTAAATTTTAATTCTCATTTATTTTATTCTTATACAGTTAGCTTCTTCATGTTATATTCATAAATTACTTGGATAAATCAAGGTTTTCAGAATTATTTTGTATTTGTTCTCTAATATATATCGATTTTTTAACATGAAACGATAAACGTTGGACCTTGTATGTTTGATAATACCTGAGGTCATTTCCAAATTTTATGTAATTGATGTGTATATATGACTACACAATTTCATCGCGAATATATCGTAACCGAATGTAATTATGTCGGTGTAAAGTTCAAAGTACTACGTTCGTCGACGTTCTAATAATATTACTCGCACATTTTTTACAACAGTTTTTTTTTACAATAATTATCATAGTTTTTCTGATGTCATTCTTTGTATTTTCTGAGAACTGTTATGATGCTAATCAACGCTAAGGAGTTCGTGAGTTATAAGTATTTGTGTTTTGATAATTGAACTTAAGGTTATTTATGAAGGCATTATATGTTTTAATAGACACGTACTTATTTAATTCTAGTTGTTTTCCCGCGCCTTGCCCGCGTATTATAGCCTATGTCTCCCGCGTGTGATGTAGATTCCCGTCGGTGAAAGAATTTTCAAACTCGATCCAGTTGTTTCGGAACCTATTAAAGTGAACAACCAAATCTTACCTCTTTATAATAATAGTGTATTTTGATGCTGCTTCATATATATCAGATGTTTGAAAGGAAATAAATTAAAAAGTCCGTATTGAAATTGTAAATAGCAGGTACAGCAGATACATGTTTGAAAACAATACATATACACTTACCGATAACGTTGTATAATATCAGCATGTTCAATATACACATTCACAAACGAAAGCATGCATAAACCACTAGAATTCCTTGACCTTCCAGAAACTATGCAAGTTCAACCACTGACGAACACTTCCGCGGCACAGTCGGCAAGTAAAACGATATTATTATCGGTGCACCTTTCCAGTCTGTTTACAAACAGCGCTGTACGCTTTTCCGAATACCGTCGGTGTGGAATCGGTTATCAATGCGTTCGCGTAGTTTTTTTAAAAAAAATTTATGGCTGCTAAACCGCGATGTGCGTGTTGCCAGCTCGACGCGGCCGCTGCCAATAAGTTACTTTATGTGTTCGCTACTCAAAGAAAATAAATTCTTGTGAAAACAGTATTTCTTCGTACTAGAGTTCAAAATCGAATGGATGACTCTAAGTCTCGTCACAAGAATCGCTAAAGTTATTCATAAACCAGTAGGGATATCCAACTTCTTGCGCTACATTAATGGCTAGTTTGTGTTGTATTAAAAATTATTTTATTTGAATCGTTTGTATTATGCATTGCTGAAGGTGTATAAGCACGATTAAATCGATTAAATTGGCGGAAGATGGTTAACAATAGGACAATAGTGAGTGAATCGGCTAGATGAGTGTGTTTTTCTTTGCTCGGCGACACTTTGTTAGGTAAGACAAGACATTTGTGCCCGCATTTTGCACTAATGCATCTTCACAATTCAGTACAACCTTTGCTCTCTGTTCGCTTTCTATTAATTTATAAAAATAATTCATATTATCTATTGAATTATTAAAAATGATTCATATTATCTATTGAATTATTAAAAATAATTCATATTATCTATTGAATTATTAAAAATAATTCATATTATCTTTAGAATGAGGTTTAATTTGATTGAACTCCTACGCTATGAGAGCGCTGCGCAAAATTTTACTTTTTATAAGTAAACTAGTGGACGCCCGCGACTTCGTCCGCGTGGAAGTCGGTATCCCGTGGGAGTGAGAAGTTTTCCCAGTAAAAAGTACCCTATGTGTTATTCTGATGTATAACCTATATTGCTGTAAAGTTTTATCCAAATCCGTCCAGTAGTTTTTTCGTGAAAGAGTAACAAACATCCATACATCCATACTTACAAACTTTCGCCTTTATAATATTAATAGGATTACATTGCAGGAAAGAGAATCGGGTGTAGCTAGCCTTTTTTATGTCGAGGAAATACGTTAGGCACTATCCTAGACAGACTGGGGATAGACCTACACGGTCTAAGGTAGGACTGACCTTCGTGAACCCACCCCACGGCTATCCACCCGGTGGCTCCTCAGCAGTGACGGACTTACGCTAAGACCATAGGCCCGGCCTAAACAGGCCAATATTGTGTGCCAAAAACGCAATAAAACTACGGGTCCTATTAATTGTATCTTCACATTGTTATCGCACTCAAACTTAAATCAATAGAGGTATACTAAGAATGGAAGAATTAGCTGTAATTTCGTAGACTTTTCCAAGTAATTTCAAGGAATAACGTCTGTACCGACTTTTAGACAATCTATTGTACACTGGCATACACAAACAAATGTAAGCAATTATATTATTTAATCAGTACATAGAGACACTTATCTTTTTGAATCTATTTAAATAAATATCGTTAAGAAAGTAAATTTATATGCCGTGAGTTCCAAAATCATTTTTATTATTATTTATGATAGCTAAGAAGGGGGCGGCTAGTAAGTATATAAGCAAACCTGACTCAATCAGCCGGGATTGAATCACGCAATATCTCTTGTTGAAGGATACTCCAAACACCAAAACATCTCCTATGTGAAAGTGGACCGCTTTTTCACAAACGAAGTATACATCTGGGACAACATATGAATCCAGATGATATAAATGCTCTAACACCCAGGGAAATTATCGACTTATTGGAAGCCCCTAGAACTTACAATATAATAAATAATAATAAGTGTTACATGACCTAGGGCGGTCCATCCTGCAAATCCGCCTCTGCTCCTCAGCCTAGCCGTTAAATTATCTATGGTAGAGGAAGAGGTAATACCTCTTCTGGGGATGAGACCCGGAAGGGTCTATCTAGCTTAGCAACGTAAAACTAACATAGTTTAATATGGTTATTGCAGTAATTTGTTGATATATTTTTGTGCAATGATACTCCATTTACATATCGCAATTTCAACTTAAGTAAATATTATTTTACGGTAATCAAATGTTGCGTTCCACGTCTCTATCGAAACCAGTTCAAGTCACGTGCATACTCTTAGATTAATGTTTTAATTGTACAAACAATGGAACATATAAAAATGTAAACGATAATATATATGTGTATAAAGTAAATGCACAAACAAACATCCATTAATATTTAAAGAAGACTAAGCTCTTAATAATGTTCTTCATTTTTAAATAATTAATTATTGCTAAACTAATGACAATTTTAATGGACATTTCTCTTATGTAAATGAGTATTTTTCTTTTTGAAATCGGTCCCAATCGCTGAAGTTAGACCACAGTCCCAGTGTTAATGAGTATGCCAGTTAAATCGCACTAAAAAGGATTTCTACCCGCGTGGATAAAAAAGAGTTTTTATTGCGATAATTATATAACCTCTATTTCTTACCACAAACAACATTCCAAAAAAGATTTTTCACGAGTTATTCGTGGGAGATTTGTGGTTTTTGTAAACTCGTAATTTTCAAAGTCTCATGTTTTTAGAAGTTGCACGTTTAGATTCAACCTAGTATTTTTGTTGCCAGGTTTTTGTTCGTTTTGCTAATATGGTTGTTTGCATTATCATATTTAATTTAATTTTAGGAGCCGTCATTACAAAGAAACAAACGAAAAAGAAATAACAATAGATATAAAAGGAATATTTTTTATTATTCCTACAGTTGGATATCCAACTACAGGAATATTTTTTAATATTCCTTTTACGATATCATTGCTGGACGCAATAAGACACACAAGGACAGTCTATTAGTTTTACGCCCTATCTAAACTTCCTTCTGAACCACGCTGGAGATCGAGATAATAGATTTCTTTTTCTTTTCAGTAGCTTACTGGATTTTTTTAGAGTAACTTGTATTAATAAAGCTTTTCTTTTCTTTTTCAGGTGCGCTCATGATGACTGATCATGATCATGAAAATTGCATAAGCCAATTCTTTCATGATGTCAAGCCCAACCTTTCATCTCAAAATCTACTCGAGGTTTCTTCAGCTTCAGGATATTTCGATTCTTCCCAAGAACTGAGTCAGTATTCTCAAGACTTTAACACACAGGCACTTAGCTTATCACAATTGACCATAGAGGAGCAAGAGCCATTAAGTATACAACCTTTTTTTAATGTGACTCCAAGGAAAATGCCAGTATCTCCACATTACGTGGTCGAAGAAGAATTCGCTGCAAATCCGTGGGCGATGTTAGTAGCTACAATATTTTTAACAAAGACATCAGGTAGAATTGCAAGACCGTACATGAAGAATTTCTTTGAAGATTATCCGACACCTTATCACGTCCTCTCGGATACACCGAGTTCGTTGGAGAGGTTCTTTGATAACCTTGGTTTGAGAAAACGTGGTCTCATGATTTGGAGGCTTAGCTATCAATTTGTTTCATCAAAATGGCGGCGTGCTAGCGATTTATGCGGTATAGGGAAGTATGGAGAGGATGCCTATAGGATATTCTGTCTGGGACATACAAATTTGGAGCCCAGCGATAGATACTTAAAATTGTATTTAGATTGGTTAACGACACAAACGAAGTTCTTGGAAGAGCAAGGAGCTATGGATAGCGAATACTTGAACGAAGACCCGATTTTGAAGTACTATAGGCTTACTTTGAGAGAAGTCAAATAGTTTTATTTTTTAAACATTAGAATTATGTAAAATAAAAATCTGTGATATCATATTAAAATAAAAAGGTAATTTATAATCTTTGAAGTGGTAATTGATTTTAAAGATTATTATGTATAGATTTATATTAAATCAAATTAAATATTTATATAAATGACAATCGTACGAGCATATGCAGTAGTCCCATTCGTTTACATAACTGACAGCTTAAAATCGTAATCACCGTAAAAAGTGAACAATTGCAATATGTCAAATAGCATGAAGAACGGTATGGGAAAGTCTGAAATTATAACTGCAAGTTGCACAAATTTTCATTACGATTGTCATTGGTTTAAGGCGACTTTACCCATAAAAATTTGACATTCATTAGAGCTTAAAGGCGTCATAAACCTTAATGGACGTTTGTGCAACTGAACGTTAAACATAAATTCCTACGAGCCATGTCATTGATTTTAGTGAAAATAAAAACTAGATCTCAGTTCAGGAATCGGAGTTCTCACTATCCTCCGCAACTTCGTCCATTGCCTACCATGGAGAGGGATATCAATTGGTTTTAGTGGATATGATTCTGGCTTTTCTTAGGCCTTTTCGGAGGCGGGTCTGACAGAGGAGTATTCCACATCCGCACTGGAGAGGCGAGGTATGCGTAACGCGTTTCTCATTAAAAAAAAGGCCTATCCTAGCAGTGGGAATATTATTCGCTGGTGATAATATTATTATAATACGACTCTAAAATAATATAAATATTTACAAAAAACAACTTCATAAAAGCCAAAATTAAAATCATTTAATGTAGGGCAGGGCAGTTTTGTGTAGGTAATTAAATATTATCTTACTTCATTGTTTTTCACTTTTATAAAGGTTTTTGAAGTCGGGCTTTTTAAATATACTTTTTTATTCGTTCCTTTTAAAAGTCATTGAACTATTTAAAGCTAGTACACTGATTTTAATGAAACTCTTCCCTGAGTGCAAAAAAAAAAACTGAAAAATTTAGTTTTCCAATCCAAAGACCAACTGATTTTGCGCTATTTCAACGAAGAACTGATTTAACGTACAGAAGTATTTAATAGATAAACTCCTTTTTGAAATTCAAATCGTGTTTCTTTTTTAAGTATGTAAGTTAAAAATATATATATATATATATATATATATATATTTTACTTTAATAATGGGTTGTTCTGACATTATTACTATTTTCACTTTACTCTTTCAGCATCTCTACACAAGTATATTTTCCATAGCATCTTGACGTATCCTGAATCAGGATCAGAATCAACAATAAACCTCTTCCTTACCAAAACAAAACTTAACCCCCCCCCCCCCCCTCCCCGGAATGGAACCGGTGTTAAATTTAAAAAAAGAAAACTATATTGCCCAATACTTTAAAATAAGCGTTTATCAACAATTCGAAGTCACTCATACGCCTATTACCAACTTGAAGCAAAATAACTTTGCGTCTAATACTACTTCTTTACGTGTAATAGGTTTTTACAGGCGCGGATCCCATTTTTTAATGTTTCGTGCATTGGTTTCGTAATGGTCAAGTGTGTTGGCAACTTAATGAAATCTACATTAATTGACCGGAAGTTGACGCCGGTGACGCCATCTTGCGGCGCACAATGACGTTCACGTGCAAGATGGCGACTATATAAGCAAGCAACCGACCTAAGCATGGCAGTCTTAGTTCCGCTCGCGCTGTGACAACTAGTGTAAATTATAAAATAAAGTGTTGTGATTATTGATAGCTATGTGTGATGTATGCAAATTAGTGAATAAATAGTTTGATGATTGAAAGTGAGGTTTTAGTTAACATCAGAAGTGGGATATTAGGCGCCAATGGGCTCTCGCAGGAAGCGCTCTAAACGTCGCGAAAGACGCTCGAGTTCGACGTCGAGTAGCTCGAGTAGCGCTCGAACACCGTCGCCCTCACCGAGACAAAGGAAAAAGGTAGCACACAAAACTGACACCGCGACTGTAAGTACAAACAACAGCTTAATATTGTGCAATATCATACCAGAATTTGACCCGTTAATAGACGACGTAAATGCATGGCTTAATATTATCGAATCTTACTCTCAAACGATTGCGTGGTCGGATGAAGTGATTCGCTATCAAGCTTTGAACAAATTGAAAGGTTCCGCTAAAACATATTTTTGTATTTTTGATCTTCTAAAAGAAATACTCGATAAAAAACCCATAGAAAATCAATCTTTATACGATTTTTACTTTGATCAAAAATGTAAAATCGAACGTTTGTCACTAAACTTTACACAACAAGATATTATATCTATTATTTTAGGGAACATAGGAGAGGCAAATTTATTAGCATCAATAGACGCTAATCAGTTTACAACATGTGATAATCTAGCAAGTTTTTTGCATGGTCGAATATACAAATCCAAATTTCCTAAATCTTCAAATGTTCCTTGTGAAAACCAACCACGACAAACCGTCGCACAACCAACTACTTCCTCCACAAATGGAGGTAGTATAACCATAATAGATCAAACTGTTCCATCTGGTTCACTAGCGACCATGCAGAACATACAACGTAAATCGTTAAAATGCTTCATTTGTGGTGGGAATCATAAACGAAATCAATGTGATAAAAATAAATGCGACTTCTGTGGGAAAAGGGGACATTTAGAAGCTGTATGCTTTCACAAAAAACTGACGAAAACCGAAACGCACGAAACTAAATTTATTTCTACCCCCAACCCTCGTAACAAATTCGTTAAAAATATAATACTAAATCACGTGAAGTGCGAAGCTTTTATAGATACTGGAAGTAGTTGTTCGTTAGTGTCAGAGTCATTCGCAAAGAATAATTGCTTTGAAATTAGTCCTTTATCCTCTCCGATTTTATTGCAAGGATTTTCTAAACAATCCTCAAAATTTGTGAGTCATAAGATAACCGTTGATTTAGAAATGGACTCTATAGCTTTAACGCAAATTGACATTAGTGTGCTTGATGATTTGATGGATTATGATATTTTGATAGGTAGGAATGTAACTGAGCGATCAGATTTGATGTACATACGTGTAGGAAATACCTTTAGGTTTCATTATGCAATAGGGTACAGCGAATCCTGTAAAAGTATTAATGAACTAGATTTAGACACCGACTCTCATCATAACGAGTTAAAATGTATTTTCAGTATATATAGAGATTGTGTAGCACTCAATACTAAAGAGTTAGGGAAAGTTAATCATCACGAAATGGAAATTAACGTTAACAATATACAACCGATTCAGTGCAGACCTTTTAGGACTTCTAATAACGATAGAAAAATAATACGTGATATAGTAAATGAACTTTTAGAAAATAACATCATACGCGAAAGTAGATCGTCTTATGCGAGCCCCGCACTTCTTGTAACAAAAAAAAAATGGAGAAAAAAGACTTTGTATAGACTATCGGTTATTAAACAAAATAACTATTAAGGATAAGTACCCTATGCCACGTATTGATGACCTTATTGATAGACTTTCTGGTCACAAATGTTTTTCAAGTCTTGATTTAAAAAGTGGTTATAATATTAATGAACGAGAATTCAATACCCAAAACTGCATTCATCACGGAAGATGGCCATTATGAGTTTCTCAGACTCCCCTTGGGTTTAGTTAATGCACCATCTTGTTTTCAATATATGATGAATAAAGTTTTAGGTAATTTAAGGTTTAACAATGTAATAGTTATTTAGATGATATTTATCTTGTAACAAATACGGTGGAAGAAAATTTGAAGTTATTAGAACAGATATTGCAAATTTTTAGGATGAATGGTTTGACTCTGAATCTAAAAAAAGTGTCATTTCTTCAAAAGTGAAATAGAGTTCTTAGGTTATCGAGTAAAGTCTGGGAAAATTATGCCAAATGAAGCGAAATTAGAATCAGTTAGGCAGTTTCCAAGACCCAAAACAGTACACCAACTTCGACAGTTCATTGGTCTAATAAGCTATTTTCGGAAATTTATTAAAAATTGCGCAATGATTTTGGTACCTTTGACAAAACTGTTAAAGAAGGATACTACCTGGGCTTGGGAAGACAAACAAGAAGAGACATTTCAATCGTTAAAAAATTAACATCAGATAATTTCCTGTCTATTTTTGATCCCAATAGAGATAGTGTTTTATACACTGATGCTAGTCGAGAGGGTATTGCAGGAATACTTATGCAAATTACAAATGAGGGAGAAAAACCAGTCCATTATTATAGTAGGCAAACTACCGAAAATGAAAAATTATACCATTCATTTGAATTAGAACTGTTGACAATTATTTGTTCGCTCCAAAAATTCCGCCTATATCTGTTAGGTTCAAATTTTAAAATCATAACTGACTGCAGTGCTGTACGATATGCGCTCACTAAAAAAAGATATTGTCCCACGCATAGCTCGATGGGTATTAGCTACACAAGAATTTTTATTTGAAATTGTCCATAGAGCAGGTACACGTATGCTGCATGTTGATGCATTAAGTCGAAATCCTGTAGTTTCGGGGGGAAAAGTCTGAAGTTGAAATCATTATGTCCATTACTGAAGCAGATTGGTTGCTGTTAGTGCAAACACAAGACTCTAAAATTCAACAATTAAAATCAATTTTAGAATCGGGAGAGGCCGACCAAAATAGAGATGTTTTTGACAAATACGAATTGCTTGGGTCAAAAGTTTACAGAAGAACAGCAAAGGGTCGTCGATGGTCGGTACCAAAAAAATGTATTTGGCAAATAATTAAATACAACCATGATGACATTGGACATTTTTCTGTAGACAAAACTGTAGAAAGAATATCATAGTTTTACTGGTTTCCCCACATGCGTCGTATTATAAAAAAGTACATAAAAAATTGTTTAAATTGTATATACTTCAAAAACAAAGGGGGTGCCAAGGAAGGCGAATTATTTCCAATGCCAAAATATGCTCAACCTTTTCATACACTTCATTTAGACCACTTGGGTCCATTCAAAGTCAAAAAACTTGTGGGAAATGACAGATATGAGGTAACGGATCTTAAAGGAAGTGAAAGATCCTTTAAAAAGTATACTGGCGTGATAGCGGCTGAAAATATGAAGCCGTGGATTAAAATAGACAACTGGAATGAATCTGAATAATTACGTGATTATATTATGTATATAATAGATATTCGTGTTGGCAAGGTAAACACCTTAATATACTGTTTTTGGTATCTTACCTAATTCATAGTTTATTAA